ACTTCTCTCACTTGCCCGTTCCTGCAGAACCCGCTCTTAACCCTGCTGCAAACTTCCAGTCCCTTGGTCATTCTTCTAAGAATCCATTAACTTCTTGCTTCCTTACTCAACCCCAAACACAAACCCAAGTAACCCATTCCAAAAATGCCTTGCAAGGATCTTTGACTTCCTCACCTACTTGCTCATTCTATCAATTAGTGATAAAACCCAGTACCTGCTCTCTTTGTTTCTACTCATAAACTGTCTGACAGCAGGGAAAGTTATAAAATGGCTCTGGCTATGTCCACTATTAAGATACACCATATTACACTATACAAACACAAATGCACACTTTCAAAATGTAGGTTTACTCCATGAAATAAGGTACCTCGTCTGTTTCTCACTGCCATATCTCCGGTACTTTACTGTCATTAAGTCACACACTGTAGGCATTCAATTAAATTTGTAAGATGAATGTATTGCTATGTACTCTGTTGGCTTCTTAATGAATTCCCTAGTGCGATTATTCCAAATACTTTTTCTATTTTTCCCAAGTGTCAAATACACTTGTCTCCTTTACAAATGGCCCAATCCTCTAATGAGGAAACCAAAGGTCTTCTAACATGAGTTAACACAATTGCCCTACATTTTTATTCCATCTTATCCATCTTCCCTAACATGTTAAAAAGAAAATTGTCTTATAACTGGTTTTATAGTTCTTTTTATTTACTAAATGCCTACTATATCACTCTAGTGTTAAAGAATACACACTCACGGGACACCTGGGGTGGCTCAGTCGGTTGAGTGTCCGACTTTGGCTCAGGTCATGATCTCGAGGCTCATGGGTTCAAGCCCCGCATCCAGCTCTGAGCTGACAGCCCAGAGCCCGGGGCCTGCTTCAGATTCTGTGTCTCCCTCTCTCTCTGCCCCTTCCCTGCTTGTCCTCTGTCTCTCTCTCTCTGTCTCTCTCAAAAAAAAAACATTAAAATTTTTTTTAATTAAAAAAAAGAAATGCACACTCACATTTGACCTTTCCTGAGTTCAATTTTTCTTGTCCTATTAGTCTCCCAATTAACAAAAATACTGAGAATACTAATAAAGATACAAGTCAACTGCCAATCTGTATTTTCTCCCTATAGTTGGTTTAGATCATAAGGGAGCTAAGGACGTATCTGCTTTCCTGGAAAGCAAGGATATAGTCTATTTTGAAAATGGGTTGTCTTGGGGCGCCTGGGTGGCACAGTCGGTTAAGCGTCCGACTTCAGCCAGGTCACAATCTCACGGTCCGTGAGTTCGAGCCCCGCGTCGGGCTCTGGGCTGATGGCTCAGAGCCTGGAGCCTGTTTCCGATTCTGTGTCTCCCTCTCTCTCTGCCCCTCCCCCGTTCATGCTCTGTCTCTCTCTGTCCCAAAAAAATAAATAAACGTTA